TGGGAAATCTGGACAAAAAGTGAGTATCTTTTCACCTACTTTGGTATTGTTGGCATCAGTATTACAGCACGGAAAAGAGGAACTTAGGCATAATCACAGCACAGCTATGGTCACTCGTAAGGTATTTCAAGTTATTTCTGAAGTAGGTATTTTCAAGCACATTTAGTTTTGCCTGATCTGTCTGTTTTGATGCAGAAGTTCTGTTTTCATTATAAAGGGATAATAAGCTTGAAATTTCTACTTTCCCAATCCAAGTCAAAAGCGCACCTCTTCGAACTAGGAATGGTGGTGAAAGCAGTTTGAAGGCTTTGAAATGTGAGTGGAGCTCTCAACTACTCTGACCATGTGCTGGATAATTAAATGTGTGACAGGAAGAAGAAATTTGCTTCCTTTTAAAAAAATGCATCTTTCACAATACTTGTGGTCATGACATTTGTTAAAGAATTTACTATTAAGGATTATTTCACAACTGTCTGGGGAGATGCCTTTCAGACTGCAACCAGTATGAGCAAACTAAATATGCATAGAAACATAGAAACATAGAATCATAGAATCATTAAGGTTGGAAAAGACCTCATACATCCTCTCGATACATGGTGGTATCTATAACTTGTGACTATACTGCACTGCACTGTTGCTCAGCAAGGCCCTTCTTACATGGCAAACTATCAGAACAAATTCTCCTATCTGTATGGAGCAGAAGATTGGAAAAGGCTGAATATTTCCTTTAGGTTAATGTAAGAATCAAAACTAACACATGAAAATGCATTAAGTGGCTCAAAAGTTTTACACTGAAGTTGTTAACTTAAGAAAAACAGCACCGGGGAATAATATAGTGATGTTTTTTGGTGTAATCTGCTAGTTCCAGAGACAAAAATTTAAAACCATTGACACCTTGAGATATGAAAGGTACATATATAGCATGCTACTCTCTGCAAGGCAACCAGAACTAAAAGATGTATTTTTCAAAGCAATCACCTTTGTTTGCCCAAAATGCATAAATCATATTCAGTTTGCTCTGAAGGCTACAGCATTTCCAAGCACGTCTCCAGAAAACCTCTGGAGATCTAATTACTCCAAGATACTGCAAAAAAAGTTATTGCTTATTTGAACTGCTAAAACTGCTAGCTGCAATATGATGTCTTCTCTGTCAGTGTTATTCTGCTTCAGAAAAGAGTTTTATTCTCTATAGCAAACATAGCTAGGTTTTTATTTTCCCCAGACCTGAGTTCAATTATTTAATATGCTCTAGGCTGAATGAACACCAGGTACATGTAACATCCAGTACTTTAATATAGCAGTAATAATAACTCCTGTTTAGAAAAATTTTGTAGGTTTTAGTTCAGAACTTATGCCAAGTGGGGAAAGTGTTCTGATCTAACTCAGTCTAAACACTGTGATTCTATTGTCTTTAGTGAAATTATTCCTCATTGCATCAGGCTTGGGGAGGAGTGGCTGGAGAGCTGTCTGGCAGAAAAGGACCTGGGGGTGTTGGTCTATAGCCGTCTGAACATGAGCCAGAAGTGTGCCCAGGTGGCCAAGAAGGCCAATGGCATCCTGGCCTGTATCAGGAACGGTGTGACCAGCAGGAGTAGGGAGGTGATTGTGCCCCTGTACTCGGCACTTGTGAGACCTCACCTTGAGTACTGTGTCCAGTTTTGGTCATCACAGTACAGGAAGGACATTGAGGTGGTGGAGCAGGTGCAGAGAAGGGCAACAAAGCTGCTGAAAGGGCTGGAAAGCATGCCCTATGAAGAGCGGCTGAGGGAACTGGGTTTGTTTAGTCTAGAGAAGAGGAGACTGAGAGGAGACCTTATTGCCCTCTACAACTACCTGAAAAGAGGTGATAGCGAGGCTGGTGTTGGTCTCTTCTCTCAAATTAGTAATGATAGGATGAGGGTGACTGGCCTCAAGTGGCACCAGGGGAGGTTTAGATTAGATATTAGGAAGAAATTCTTCACTGAGAGGGTAGTTAGGCACTGGAACAGGCTGCCCAGGGAGGTGGTGGAGTCGCCATCCCTGGAGGCGTTTAAAGAACGAATAGATGTGGCGCTTGAGGATATGGTGTAGTGGTTAGAGAAATGCTGGGAAAAAAGTTGGACTTGATGACCCTGGAGCTCCTTTCCAACATAATGATTCTGTGATTCTGTGATTTCAACATCAGGAGCCTCCAATTCCGGTGGAAATCAGGAATGAAGATTGCAGAATAACAGATCTTAGATTTTAATCTATAGCACTATAGAGTATCCTCAGCTCTCACTGTGGCTTTTGAAGACAAGTCTTGTCAGAGAAGGATTTCCTTCGGTTCCTTCATGATTGCACTTGTCACCTGAGGACTGCTTGAGTTTCTGAGTTAAAGTAAGAAGAATCTAGATACGTCCTTTGTTTAAAATAACTCAAAATCTTCATTCCATGTGGCTTAGAAAAACTTGGAAAACTTTTCCTGTTGTGACTTTTTTAAAGTTTACATGTCCTTTATACTTCCATAGTGCTGCCCAAGAGTGGCTCCACCATCACAGTAAAACCTCTCTGTGACCTTTGAAATTGTTTGTACATTCATCCTCTCCCCTGACCTGGAATGGCCCTTGGCACAATAAATTTGTGTGTTCTTTTTAAGAGGTGGACAGTTGCTTGCTGAGGACTGATGTGGGAAATTCATGGTATGGACTCCTTTCTCATAAGCCAGAGACGAGTGACCAGTGGCATGACTTTGCTAATCTAAACCTACAGTAATGAAACCATGAGCCTTATCTTTTAAATAATGGTCCATCCTGTTCCCTTTCACTGTCTTTGAAACACTTTAGATGCAGGCATTTTAAAACAATTTGTTATTCATTTCTCTTCACATGATTTTTGTGGTGGTTTTGACCTCAGGCCTCAGTTTTCAGTGAATTGGTTCTTGTTTCCAGGAAATACAGACTCATGTACATGTCAGAAATGAAGAAAAAGTAATTCTGAAAAAAACAGCCACATACAGTGTTGCATATCACTGGTGACCTGGATCGCAAATACTTACAATCAGGAATTTCATGCTCTTTGTGGCCTGAAAGACAGTTAGACACCTAACAGAACATTGGGAAGGGCTAGAATATGCAGTACTTCTACAAATAACATTGTTTTGCAATAATCTGTAATAATCCCCTAACAGCTGCCATTCCAAATGCTTCACTCTCTGTCTTTGGTTTTTGTTTTTGCCTTTATTTCTGGAGTTATTAGCTTTCTGCCATAAGTATGATGAAGAAACTGATGTAGGAGATCTTAGCCTCTTCCTTAAAGCAGAATTAGACACAGTCCACAGTAGAATCTGAGTTATTTAGAGAGGAATACTGGATTTTGGTGGCCTCACCTAGCACAAATCAGCAGAGAACCAGAGACCAGAGTTCAAATCAGGTCCTGCACAGGCAGGAATTGGAAGTACCCTGTTTGTAGAGCAAGATAACTTACACACTGACATAGACCAAAATGTCCTGCTAAAAATGTCATTTTGAAGATACGGTGCCTAGTTTTGGGACCCAGTCAGTAGGAAAACAAAGACACTGACCATAAAGACATAGAATCGTAGAATCACGGAATAGTTGGGGTTGGAAGAGACCTTTAAAGGTCATCTTGTCTAACCCCCCTGCAGTGAGCAGGGACATCCTTAGCTAGATCAGGTTTCTTAGAGTTCAGCTCGACCTTGAATGATTCCAGGTATGGGGCATCTACCTCCTCTCTTTTTCAGTGTTTCACTAACCTCACTGTAAAATATTTCATCTTTCTACCTAGTCTAATTCTACCTTTTTTTAGTTTAAAACCATTGCCCCTTGTTCTGTCACAAGAGGTCTTGCTGTTCCGTTTTACTCATAATCCCCCTTCAAGTCCTGAAAGGCCACGGTCTCAGCCTGGAATTCATGCGGGTGCTTGAGGCAGTCTAGGACATGCTGCTTGTCACTCATTGTTACTTCTACTGATTGCAATTGAGACTTTTTAAAATATTGATGCTTAAAAAAGGAGTCAAGACCACAAAAGTAAAATACTACAAAATACTCCAAAATACTCCAAAAGTTCATGAGTAACTTTCAAAAAGTGCTTAAAAGAAACTAAACGATTGCAGGTAGCATTCTGTTTTTCAGTCTGTTAACAACCCAGGTCAAAGCAGAGCCAAGCTCTTTACATTTAAAACATTCAGATGTTCCCCAGAGCTGTTAATGATGATACCAGCTTTCATAATCAGAGAATACAGTAAATACAATATCCATTGATTTTTTGTCACATGCTAGCTCTCCGAATCTTGCACACATTGAAATTATCTGAGAAATTCCAAATTAATATACAGGACCACTGTATGTTGGGCCTTTATACTCTGAAAATCTCAGTGCTCTTTCTGATATTTATCTCTGTTTTCTTATAGACACCCAGGAAATCTGTACCAAAGCAAGGAATTGAACGTCAGAGCCACTCATTAAGCACTTTGACCATAGATCTTTCCTTCTTCTGCAGGTATGTGATTTTTTTTTCGAACAGGCTTTTGAGAATGAGAGCTGATAACAAAAAGCATTGTACAAGCACTACGACAGACTGACTTTTTTCTGGAATCTCACGCAATAAAGTTATTGTCTCAGATCAGCTTTTCTCAGGCAAAGTGGTTTAATAAATATTTAGAAATAATATTCACTGTTAAGAATTATGAAAAAAAAATCCTCATATAATTCATAAAAGGTAGCTTTTATGCTCTCCCAAAGGCCTTCGCCCCCAGGCTGTTACGCAGTAAGTTTTTGACCAGTTACATATTTTATTGCTGCCCTACCATACAAAAGCAACTGCATTTCAGAACATTGCACGTAATTTACTTTGCAAGAAAAGGTCAAAGGAAATAGAAATGTATTCATTTATAAATTTACCTTTAATTAATTCCACCAAGAAAGAAGCATTGCAAGGTACACATTTTGACCAGGTGAGCTATTTTAGGAACCAACTTCTCCCTACTTAGAGAAACATTTAAAAAGAAATGGAAACATTACCTTGGCTGATGTTTCAAACCAGCCCACAAACCCATTCTCTTTGCAGAATTGATCCATCTTGATGCCGTTGTTCATAAGAACATCTATTTCCTGGTCACATTTGTTTGCTAAGAGGACTGTTGGCACAGGTTTGCCATTTGGAAGAACCAGCTTAGAGTCCAAATCCTCTTTCCATTTTGTCACTGCTTCAAACGTTGCAGGTCTTGTAACATCAAAGACAATAAATGCCCCCATAGCTTCTCTGTAATATACCCGGGTCATGTTTCCAAATCTCTCCTGACCTGTGATGAAGAAAGTAGAAGGGGAAAAAAAATCAGCACCACCTTGTAGAAATCACTGCTCCCAATCGAGGACAATATTTCACACAGCAAGTTTTCTACAAGAATATTCTGAAGGTAGAACTTATTTTTGTAAGTGTCTGGAAAGTTACTCTTTCTCTAAGTAATAAATAAGTACCATGCCAGGCTCATTTGTATGAAAATGCAAGAGTGTATAGCATGAAAAAGGGGTTTTAAAGAAAGCATGCAAGGAAATTTAATAACTTTATGACAAGCTTGAACATTAGTGCGCAGTCTTATTAAGCTGCCAGAATTCTAGGGTTGAGGACAGCACCAAGGGTCATGGTGTATATTATAGGACATTAAACAGGAGTCACAAAAATACTGGAAGCTCCTTGATACTATAGTATTTTGTGGGAAACATCTAACACAACTGACCTGCTCATGCATTAAGAGGATTCTGCATATTCTCCTGCAAGTGATAATAATCAGCAGTAACATAGCTAAGCTCTGGAGCCATATGAGCCATTAGAGTCATTAAGAATTTATTTTTACTGGCAAACTAAAACACAGAGGTGAGGATGGTGAATTTAAAGCCTTTCAAACATTGAAAGTGTTCTAAGAAATAGCACAGCAGCAGCAATACAAAGAGCTGTATTGCTCCAGTGAAAAGATCTGGGAGGAGATATTTCACACTGGATCTGTTCAGAAGCTTTATGGTGTTATTTGCTGAATTCAGAGTGTTTTCTGGGAAGTTAAACAGTAGTTTTGAGAGCTAACGATATATTATTACATTCAAACATAGACATTTGTAAATATCTATCATTTTATATGATTAACACTGGAAAGATTAACACACTTGACATCAAGATGTGGTATATTGATCAGCTGTGGAGTTGTTAATAGATGTGCTGTTTTCATGGGAGTTTTGAAAAAAAAGTCAGACGGAATTTTTTCTTCAAGCAAAAACCCAAAATTTCCATGGATGTCTACTGCTGAGCTGTGATTCGAAATAGAACTATGAGCGCCTGAAACATCTCGTGATAACAGCAATCTTTAAGTAAGATAACTCTTTTATTTAAGCATACACTTCCAGAACTGAGAAAAGGTGCTATGAAAACAGACAACTTTCAATGGAAACCCCTTTCTAGCCTTATTTTCTCAGTGTGCATAATTTTGAGCAGATTCGGAAGAGAAGATTGGCAATCTGCCTGCCACCCTAGGCAAATTACTTGTGGAAGTTTTATCTGATGGAAATTGTGCTGTCAGATGTAAGGGTGGGTTGAGAACTGAAGAGTGCTCATTATTGGACCACTAGATCATACAGTTTCCTTTAATTGAAAGAGCATTGAACACACTTATGGGGTCAAGACCATCTGCTTTGCTGTTTATCTTTGTTTTTATGAAGTAGCTGTTGCAGCAAGGAGAAAATCATTCACATGATACAGAAACCAAAAGTGGATGTCTATCTTCTCCAAACTCCTGTTAGATTTTTTACCTTAAAAAAACACTGTGTCCCATTGATAAAGCAAGATAGAAATATATCATCTCCAGGAAATATGAGGTCATACTGAAAATTTCTTGTGGCAATGTTTTATTAAAATGTCTTATGATTGCTATCAGTGGGCTAATCAAGTGAGTGGCCAAATCATGTGCTATTCAATAATCTCCTTGTTGAGCAATTTCTCCTTGTCTGCAAGAAGGTGCCTTCAAGCAAAAGTCAAGGTCTGATTAGAAACTTAGCACTGAGACAAGCAGCAACACAATTAGTTTTTGGCACATCCTGTATTTCAGTGATAATTTATAATTCTCATGCAAAGTTCTTGAGATGCTTTCACTGTAGATGGGATGTAGGTGACCTAAGAAAAGTTCAACTTGGGCCTTACATTTATTGGGACATAGATCACTAAGACTGGTGGGACATGTCATAGAACATGAACTAAACTATTATATGCCACATAAAATAATTTGTCACAAACAAAAAAAAAGTTATTAGAGGAACAAAAGGCTTTTACAGTATGATCTTCTGGACAGTAGTGGCACACAGATTTCTGACAAATGGTATCACACTGATTCCTGCTCGTGCTTCCAGCTGCTTTTGCAGATACCTGTGTTTTGCACCGCACAGAAAAGCCGCTATGTTTGTAAAAGCAGTTTTGTGCAGGAAGACAGAGCTCACCAATTTCCATTATCAGCCACCTCAGAGAAAAAGAATGGAGCTGCTGAATTAAGTGCTTAAATCCTTTCTGAAGTGGTCTTTTTCCCCATCTGTTGCTATTAATATATGAATATACTTGGCACAAAGACATTATGCAACTTTTAATGGAAGAAGAGGTGGTTTGTAAACCACAGACTTCTAGTTCTATGTAATTTGCATAATGGTTTTATTTTTCTTTAATTTACATTGTGAAAAAAGTGATCTCTGGTGCTTGCATTGTGCTTGGAGACCTAAACGTTGTGTCTAAGGAACCAGGAGGACTACTTTTTCCAAAGGTTCTCCCTTATGTGAACAAGTATCTGTCTTACTAGCTGAGATTCCTAAAACATTTTCATTTGGCAGAATCATCCATGAGTACAGGCACTGTTTGACGTATTAAAGGTTCCAGAATCTGGCCGTAGGTTTTCAGCAAAACAACAGCTTAGGCAGTAATTAGGCTAGAAAATAGATCAACTATTAGCTATTCAGTGGTATCTCACAGGCAGCCTTGAACATTAGAATCTGCTTTATTGCAAGAGGCACTGGGGAACATGGGTATTGTTTCTCACTGGAAGGGTCAGAAACTTGTGAAATGTTTGTTTGATCTGGCCCATTGTACTTTGCTGCATCCTTGCAAGGCCACTGGCATTTGGCATCAAATCCCACCAGTCTGATGGCCTTTGCTCACTAAGATGGTGCTTTATGTTGGGATTCATCAGCCCTTATTTAGATTCCAAAAACTCAATTGGGCTTTGTAGTTACAGAGTGAGAAGAGAGGGCATCTCCCCAGAAAGCACAGACATTTGAGAGTGGTCACATAAGCTTCAGTATGGAGGTGTTTAATCTCTATCCTCGGTGAGTAGTTTATACTCAGCAAACCCAGGGTGAATAGCTTATACTCAGAGGGCTCAGTACAAGATGTCTAATTGTTAAGCTGGATGAATCCTACCCTACCGCGAAGTGAACCCAGTGAGACCAAGGTGCCAAAGGAACAAGATTTCTATTAAAGGTAAGGAGTGAGTCCCTGTCTAAATGGCACCTTAGTGCACATTTATCCTAATCTCAGTGGCTCTTCTGCAGCTGAGAAAGATATCATTTCACGGGCTTAAAGTAATCAACAGCTGTAGTTTCATAGTTCATAAAAATGCACTCCACATAAATTTGCCAGCATGACTTGTTTAGAAATCTACAACTCGTGCCAGCCACTATCAACTCTGATAAACTTATAAAAACTAATGATAAAGTGCTAAAACTCAGATCATTTCCACCATCTCACCCACAGTATCTCCAATATAGTGCAAGTTAAAAATTGATTAAAACCCACCAATGCCCAGTTTAAGAATGGCTTTTACTTCTTGCCACCATCCCTCACCCCGAGATGCAAAAGCTTCTGGGAACTACCATGCTTTCCAGAGGGCCTTTAGCCAACACTGAGAAGCTGAAAATTGTGGGGAAGATCTAAACATTTTATTGCCTTTCATTTCAAAACGACTTTCAGAATTTTCAGCCTTGAATTCAAGTCATTGTCTTTATGGATTGAAATTTAAGCAAGCCTTGAGGCGTTGTTAACCACCCCAGAACATGGAAAGGCAGGGTGTCAGCAGGATCAGGCCCATGGATCCCACCACAAATCTGTACTGAAATAAAACCACCACAGCCAGGGACTTAGTTATCTTTGCAGAACAGTAATTTCAAGGTAACTTAGCCTAGAAATCACCATGACTATCTTATTTATGCATATGTACTGCAATGCTTAGCAGCCACTAAAAACCTAAACCACTGAGGATGTGCTGTGCCTGGCATTACTGAACGGTCTGTTTACTCCTTCGGGGGCTTAACAGGCTTAAAAACTTTGCAAAGTTTTTTTAAGTTGTAACTGCAGAGACATTTGCATATATCTGTGCAAAGACTGATGTTGCCAAAGGTGAAATTTGCAGGGAAAGGGAAGAAACATGTTCTTTCGCGTTGGTGGATGTTCCCAATGCATCGGTCCAACCCTTTATGAGATGAGCACCAGCCTTGTAAAAGCAAACCAAGAGATTTTTGGTAGCAATGAATAATCCAGCCCACACATACGCAGCAGGAGGTGTAACGGTGATTCTGACCCAGCTGTGAAAAAGTAGCTGGGGAGGGTGAAGGCTCTGAAATGCCACTCTCTGCCCCCCACTGCGCTCACAGAACTGCTCTCCGCGGCAAATCTGCAGCTAAAGCTGGTTTTCAGAGAAATATGGGGTCTATAAAGACATGAAATGTAGACAGTAGCACTGACAGCAACCTTGCAGAGAAGTGAAGAGTAGATACACCTGGAACCACTGTCTGCAATAGTTGGTTTCTTTGAAATCTGTCTCAGCCTGCATCTGCAGCGCCACCCCCACCACAGCAGCCTGGTGTAAAATACGATTAAGAGTTTCTTTTAAAGCTTTTCTTCTAACAATCGGTTAACTGATTTAAAGGGTAGTCATACAGAGGCAGCAGAAAAGATAAGGAAACAACAAAAAAATTTGGCCGAGGAGCAAGGTTTGGAGATGTATGACACAGCAGTGGAAGTGACAGAGCACTTCAATAGGGGGATGAACACTAAAACTGAGAATTAGGGACATTCAGTGAAATAAAATGGAATTGTTGTGAGGAAATTAAAGACTAGGAGATTTTTACTATGTATATCTCCTCCCACGCACAACAGTGAAAGTTCAGTCACTTGAAACTTAGGCACTTCACTGAATCAGACATAAACTCGTAACTTTTAATGCCAGTGTGTTGTTATAGATATCAAAATATCATAACAACATGTTTCATCCAATTATTCATGTCTAACACCCATAGCTCCAGGAATATATTATCTGTTAAAAACATTCCAAGTCTTAATGTATTAATATGTAATGCAGAATCTAACATATCCATGAATTAACTTTTTTAATGCTTAGTTATCCTTATTGTTCAGCATTTTTCTCTCATCTAAATAAACACAGTTTCAGCATTTAGCTGTTAGATCTTGTTATAGTTTTGTTTATCAAATTAAAGAATACAGAAAAAAATATGGTATAGGAATAAACTACTATGAAATGAGATGGCACCAGATGATACAAATTTTCTTTTCCTTATTAAGTCTGTAAGGGTAAACTAGAGTGAACAGCTTGGTCCTAGGATGGCTGAAGTATGTCACTTCTTCCTTGAAGTCACCACACATGTAAATCCTAATAATAATGTAGATAAGCTTGTTACTACTTTTACTCAAAACATTTTTGAGAAAATTATTTATGGACTCTTAAACAGTTTACTACCCACTGATCCACACAGTGAAGTGTAAGGAACAGTATATATTACACTTAGTAATAAGTTCACTGACAGTACAATTAGAGGGGAAGAAGAAGATGTAAGAGCTAAAATAATACCTGATATAAACATATATACACACGAATGCGTATATATACATATATTGATACATTTGCAGCATTTGCTTCAATTCAGGATGTCCTAAGTGCTAAGCCAACATCCTTCAGCTTCATTAGAGACTGAAAATTTATTGCTTTAACCCCAAAGATAAGCATGACCTAATAACAAAGATTCTGCCGAAAGAGAGAGAGTGTTCTGAGACCAGTGATTTTATTTTCCTTGCTTTTATCCTCACATATTTCTGTTTTGCAAGTGGTGACATATGACCAGCCACAGCCACGATAGAACACTTCCATTCTCTCCGTATTACTAATCAGTTTTGCTTTGCTTTCATTTTTAAACAACTTTTTTTTCTCATTGGCCAGATACCTTATTCATGATAACTTCTATGCCAGCTCCATACTGATCTGAATTCAGTGTGTTGCTTACAGAACTTATTTTCTATGTACAGCCATCAACGGCTAAAGCTCCTCACATAGAAGTCATTAAAACTGAGACAGCAACTCTTTTTTTTTATTACCGGCCACTGTCTTGACCTTCACAGAGATGCTCTGAATTGAGCAATTCATATGAAATTTAGTACTATGCTGTAATTCTCTCTGTCATGTGTGATAACTCAGAAAGCATGCTAGTCATTCAGCACTACAACTGGGTGTAATTGCTTCTGCAGTCTGACTGAAAGCTACATCATATGATCCGCCAGCACATGATTAGTAGTGTAATAAATCTCTGAAACAAGGCATGCAAAATACATTCCTTAAGTCCCTGATGCATTCAGAATTTACTATTAAACGCTTTTTCTCATGCAGAAAGGTTTTGCTGGATGCGTATGTATTTATTGTTACGATCGGTCACTGGTGAGCAATAAAAGCAATGTTTTCCCCATTATTCTGACTTTTAATAAAGAAAACTGGGCATACGTGTATTTAATATCATAAGCCCACAAAACTATAATGATGTGTAAAAAAGCTGTGGTTATGCATGTTTTGCATAAAGCAGTGTTGTTGCATAAGTCTTAGCACCGTGGTGCCAAATTCAGAGCTCAGACATGAGACAGCTAAGTGTAGCAGAAAGGCACTCCCTCCACTGAGAAGAATGACAAGAATTTTCTCATTTCACTAGTTTTACTCAGAATGTCAAGAATTTTCTCATTTCACTAGTTTTGCTCTGTGCCGTTCCAGACTAGATCACTGAACCCACAGCTCAGGTCAGAGGCTGGCACAGTTGCCCGGCTGATATAACTTTCACCTCTATTCCGTACTTAACAAATGTAACTTCTTAGTTTAATTGATTTTTTGAAACACCCCCGTTTTTGCTGAGAGATGTTGGCTTGTAGCTTTACTTGTATTCCTACATACACTAAATGAAAAATGATTACTGATACCATGTGAAATATGCCATCATGATAAACTTTTATTTTGTGGATTGAATAAAAACTACTAAATTCCAGTAATGTGGTAGGAAAAAAAAAAAATTTCTAGTTTCAGCTTGAAGACAAATGCAAAAAATCCAAAGCACTGACAGCAGCAATTTCAAATCCTCTGATTTTTAATTATGTAAGCATGCAAGTATAGGAGGACATCTTTACTCTTTTCCTCCACACACAGAGTAAATGAGCTCTTTTTCCTTCACGTTGGACTCAGGACAAGTAAACATGAGTAAATGCATTTTTAACAACCAGGATTATTGCCAAATAGAAACATTTCTCTTTACAAAGCATGTCAGAAATTGTTTATATTTCATTGGGCTGAAGGAAGGAAGGCAGGAAAGAGAGGAAGGAAAGGAAGGAGGAAGGAATTTTGATAAAGTAACTCAGTGGTACTTTTCCCTTATTTTTTAAGCAATAAAAATAATTTTAACTGTCTTACAGAATCCCTCATCTCTTCCATTAAATTAAACACATGTGACAGGAAATTCGTGTTACTCTCCCTCTCATCCCGGAGATCTGTTAGTCTAATGAGGGAAGCTATAGATCACCAGCTGCGGGGGACGAGTTGGGGCACTTGGAGAGAGGTGCCCGTGTTCCCAGATGCATCTGAGGTACAGGAGAAAAACCAGGCAGGGCAGGTGATTCACCCCAACACCCCTTGTTTGGGGTTCTGCTGGCTTTAGGGAAACTCCAAAATGCCAATCTGCCATGAGAGTTTTCTCTCAGTGCCCCCTCTCTCACCACCCAGGCACTGGTCGTTTCCAACTTAAAGATTAGTACAAATGACTTTGGGTCTATATTTTGCCTTGTCCCTGGACAGGTTTTGGAGCGAAGGGTTCTCCTCCGTACTCACCCGCAATATCCCAGAGCTGCAGCCGTACCACAGTCTCAGCATCCCAGCTCAGCACCTTCAAGGCAAAGTCCACCCCGATGGTGGCCCGGTAGTGGGGGGAGAAGTTCTGGTGGACATAACGTTTGATGATGCTGGTTTTGCCCACTCCCAGGTCCCCGATCACCAGCAGCTTGTAGAGGTGCTCCTTCTGATTGTGCTTCTGCATCTTTCCTGTGGCTGCGGCTGCTCCCTGCGAACTGATTGCATGCTCTGCCTGAGGAATCCTGCCAGCCCGAGGGGGAGAGAGGGAGTGAGGAACCGGGGAGGGAAGGACAGAAGGTAGGTGGAGGCTCCTTCCCTTTGTAGGGAAGCAGGATTGCCGGGTCCAGCCGGCAGCCCTGCTGGGAGGTGAAGTAAGCAAGGGACTGGGGGTAGAAAGTCTCCCAGAAAGTTTTGTACGTCTGTGTGTAAAGGTCAGCACGAGGTGTGTCTGGGATTAGTCTGGCTACTACAGACTTTGCAAGAAAATTCATGCAACAGCTCTGTCCCTTGCTTCCCTCCTCACTGGAAGGACAGCGTTTCTGCTTTTACATACTTTTTTTTAATCATGTCTTCTTGGTGATAATTTATCACCCTGTGCTTGTTTCCAGACCCCTTTAAAATGCCAGTCCCTGCAAAAAAGCAGAAACTGCCTTTCTAAAGTTTCATGCCTCCATTAAAGTGCAAAAATTAAATCAGTGTGACTTTAACTTTGGATGTGATTGGGTTTTAATCAATGGAAATCAGTGTGAGTGCAGATATATCACTAGAAGTGGCAGAGCAATATGAAGCACACCAAGAGGGCTGTATTATAACAGATACAAGTATTTAAATTTCATTAACTTAGTTGTGTTTATCTGTCTATGCCTATGAGCAGACTCACCTCTGCTGAATGCAGCACACAGCTTATGCTTTGTTTTTTTCATACAACTGGGCACTAAAATGCGGAAAATTCAGATTTATCCCATGACTCCGATAATCAGAAGTTATGAAAGCATAGCAGCATTAAGGAATATGAATGCCACTGTCTTAATGGTACTCTGTTTTCCAAAATAAGTGATATCAGACTATATATTTTAAATGAAGAGCACAGCGACAGTTTCAGCTAGGCAGTTTAGCTGGAGACCTCAACCATTGCCTAGATGTGTTTGATTCTTTTAAGAATTTTGATAGCAAAACCCCAGAATTGTAGTACTGGGAGAAACTCAACTATTAATGATAATGATAATAATAATTTAATTTATTGATGACCTTACTAAAGTGAAAACATCCGTTACACTTATTGAAATACTACTTGATTGAGTTCTTATCCAAATGTGCACTGAAATGGCATTAGAATTTCGTCATCTATCCAAAAAGCTGGGGTTTAGTAGACAAAGAATTCAGAACACTCATGTTATGCAATCTTTTTTAACCGATTTCTAAACTCCAAGTTTGTGCATATACAGAAACAAAAAGTAGAAATGGATAATTGAAGGAGAAAAAATGTCTTGTTTTCCTTGACACTTTTTATTTTCAGTAAGAGGGCTTTTTTCAATAAGACAAATTCTCTTTCCAAAAGCAAACTGTCATTTGTATCCTTCTGTTTGGAGAGAAAAGTTTAAAAGGCTTAACCTTGTTAGCAAGGGTTGTCATAAAAGACTACAATCTGAGAAGTAAATCAGTTCACCCCAATCAGTTACTATCTTTGCATGATTCAAGCTCATTATTGTTGCTACTGGCAGCGTGCAGTCTGTGAACCTTCCCTTCACAGCACTGCTGTTTTCAGAGAGAATCCAACACACAACCACTTCTAAACACTCACAATTCCTCCCTAACTTGAATGTTTCCCATTTTAGAGGTTAAGGAAAGAACAGGCAAAGAGGGTTTAGCAACTGAGGAAATGACGATATTGATGTTTTTGTATGAGGTTGAAAATATATCTGGTTCTTATCCTTCTGGTCTTAGGCTATTAGTTAGAGATTGGCCTACACCCAAAAGCATGAGGCTTTACTAAAGTTTCTTCCAAAGTTTTTGTTAGCATTAACTATAATAGTTCTGGATAATCGTGTTACTGTTTAAGTTTCCAATTCTTCTTTGAACCTGGCTAAATTCTTGGCCCCAGCAGCACCCTGGTACAATGAGCTCCTCATAGGCTTAATGAAGGTCACTCCAGGATGATGGCAGGGCCACAAGAGAGGTGTTCAATGAGGTGTTCAGATCTGGGCTGAGCATGTTGGAGGCTTTGTTGCTTTTAGAAGAAGGATTCGCTGAGCTAAAGTAAAGCATGAACTGAAGCATCTTGCTGAGTGAAAGCTGTACACAGATATAGAATCATAGATTTGTCAGGGTTGGAAGGGACCTTAAATATCATCTAGTTCCAACCCCCCACCATGGGCAGGGACATCCCCCACTAGATCAGGCTGCCCAGAGCCCCATCCAGCCTGGCCTTAAAAACTCCCAGGGATGGGGCTTCCACCCCCTCTCTGGGCAACCTGTGTCAGAGTCTCACCACCCTCATGGGGAAGAACTTCTTCCTAACATCCAATCTGAACTGATCCATCTCTAGCTTTAATCCTAAGTCTGTGGTGAATTAGCTTTCATAGACACCATCTGCTGAATGCTCTTGAGGAAGGAGAAGGCCCTCGGACCTGCCTTGCTTCACATTTTTGGAGGTCTGTTCCCAAGTCCTGACTATGTGTCTGTACTGGTTTGGCTTCAGGTGTGGATGTACTGCTCATTTGAAGCTTTGCTGCAGGGACAGTAAGCACTGTCATGGGGGAAAACAGATAATTTGGGTTGGTCATGTCTTACGTGATCTCTGCAAGACTTGTCTGACGATGCCAGCTGATCCCTTTGGGCACAGATCCAGGTTACTGTGACTCAAAGATTTTCCTCAGGCAGAAGTGTCCAGGGAAGCACATGTCCTGGAGCCGATGCACTGCAATTTGTCTTAGCTGAGACCACAGCTAAGGGCAGCTGATGTAAACATATTCGCTTGCATTTGCCAGCCACAGGTAGGTAGTCGGCAAGGCTCAGCTGACATGGAGTAACCTGTTAAGCTGGGAGAACCAGATGGTGGCTCCGAGCCCTTGTTCTGCTGCTTCAGGTCCTTTCAGCAACATCCAGGCAATAACAACATGTAAACGTGCCAACAATTTAGTTGATATTTCAGTGTTTATATTTTGGTTGTCTGTATTTTCTCTGGTAAACACCTACATTTTAAACTTTATTAAATCAATGTAAATAATAATTAAAATCCCACATGTTATTAAGAATATCTATGCTGGTTTAATTTTTTATTCCCTGCCAATGCACTATGTTAATTGCCACAGTAGTGTCACCCAGTTCTCTGGTATCTCCTTTTTCATACCTCTACTAATAGTAATAGAACATATTAAGGCTGTTTTGATTGTCAGGAATTGATACAAACTCTACAGATCTCCACTGCAAATAATAGCTTTTAAGAAAATTCCATCAAATTAAGGCATTATAGGCTGTGTTGGCTTCGGCATAAAGGTGAAACTCATTTTACAGTGGTGATTTTTCATTAATTTCTCACTATTTCTCTGTCAGTAGTAGAGATCTTTTTCTCTGAGAGCAGAAATAAAATTGAAGATGCAATTACTAATCAAGGTATCAAGGACAGCATAACTGCATCCTGGGTTATATCACTCCTCTTTGCATGGCATATACCACAGAAAAGGACATCAAATCTAACTGAGCACCACGGTTGTTACCAATTCACCTTATAAAAATTACAGTATTGTCTGAGCTGTTGAAACATCAAGGTTTTTGTCCAAGGAAACACATTCAGATCATTAGAAACGTATGTACTTAAAGGATTGCCATCTAGTTACCAAGAGTTTTTATACCACAGCTATTAATGTTACACCTGGTAGCTCTGAGTGTCTTGGAGAGATTGGCCTATGCCACCATCTTGAATTTAGTGAATATGGTATAATATAAATGACGTCATGATCTAAATGCTAAATATACATCTGTCTGTCTGTGTATGCATATATATGCATATACACACAAATTAATATGATAGATTAGAAAATTATTTTACGTCCTGCTTTAAAAAAAATTACAAAAGCTGACATTCTCTACAGGTTTTTTGCCAGACTCCTGTATCCCAATCCTGGGGTATGGAATCAATACTAAATTGTTAGCTACGCTGAAGATTATTCACCTCTTATTAATATATTGTCTTCCTCATTTCAGCCATAGTATATTCACTGACTTCATTATGGGAATGGTCAATCATTGCAGGAATAACCTCTTACAAGGAACTACATTGTTTTAACAAAATGATGCATTTCCCCCAATTTTATTTTTAGACTAGAAAGAATTGGTTTGGAATTTCTCTTCTTCCATTCCAAAGGTTCTCGTGATTAAGACATTCAGTTAAAAATTGCTACTGACTCCTCAAACATACCCATAGTGGAATGGTTATTGGCTTGTCAAACATAGCAAGAGCTCTCCTTTGATTAAATTGTGATCTTCTTAATTTATAATTAACTTGGCAGAAAATACACTTTATCAGGAAAGGTCCGTAAAGGAATATCTAAACAAATGTTTATGCAAACAACAGAAGTACTAGTTAGCTTTTATGATCAGATGTCGTCTTTCTGTTCTACACTTAATTATTCTTAGTCATTAAAAGTTCAGTCTACATGTCTGGAAGCACTCTGTTGATAATATAACAATGTGGATTTAATACGCACGTCCAGGTGTTGCCTCTTGGGAGTTATGGTCCAGCTGTCTAATAAAACAAGGCCTGGATGGCAGGAATATTCTATGGCAGTGTCTGTTCTATCTCTGGAACTGCACTCTTTGAAACAACTAAAACCTTACAATTACAGCCCAGTTATAAAGTCTTAACAGGCACAAATTAGTGGTTGAGGGCACAATTGGATTAGAGATCCCAGGAGATCAGACCTCAAGGCATGATTGGATTCAGGGCAGAGGAATAGTAAGAATTCAGGGAAAGAAATGCCAAATTTTAACAGCTCCACGGTGCATGAATCATAGCATTTAAAGTGTGAGAGTTTGTGGTTCTCTCACAATTACAAGCCCTTAGTCTGATAAAGCTTGTCAACTTCTGGCACATTCCCATATTCCTTCCATATCCACCAGTCCTGTACAGATGCCTCAGGGCATCTCGGACAGTTTTAGTGACCTGTATGAGCACAGTCAGTGCTCCGATGCAAACACTTGCTTCTATTCCATCAGACTC